TTTATGCATACATATGTATGTATGTATGTGTTTACTGTTTACTTGAACTTCCTTAATTATTTTCGATTTTGCACTTACACTTGCTCGGCCATTGTTGTTTGGAACGTTGTTTTTCACTTTTGTGTGTGAATTGGTCAAAAACTGTTTTAGGTAATAATGGACCTAACCAAAAAGTTATCCACACAGCGCTGCAGCAATGATTACGAGTGATTTTATTTGCACTGAAAGCGTTTTTTGTATGAAATTCGTTTTGTGTTCTGTGTGTTTTTGTAAGAAGCGTCTAAAGCGGTGAATACTTTGCAACCGTATGATTTGAATTTTGTTGCTCTCCGCAGACTCGTGCGGCAAAAGCGCAAGCAATATATGTACATACGTAACCGTTATGTATATATGCATTGCATTTACATATGCAAATATGTTTTCCTTTTTTGTTGTATACGTAAATATGTGTATTGGAACATGCATTATATCTATTTGTTTGTTTGTTTTTGTTTACACCCAAAACAAAAGCACTGCTGCATTCAAGATGGCGCTGCTTTCTTTGTTGACGTTGAACTGCATACTATATAAGCTAGCGGATTAATGAGTTAGGCATTGACCTTTGCTAGCCAATATTTTATTGTGTGGTAAACCTAAGAATAAGCAAGCGAAGGAACTCCCTTATATTGAGATCAGATTTGATTGAGGATGGCAAAAATCATTGGAAGAAGTACTTATGTAAATATATAGTTTATAGTACTTTATTATAATTCGTTTATTATAGAATATAATGACTCATGCACTGCTATTGGACCAAGTTACCAGTAGTTGATATTTTGTTTTTGAACAGACATAAGTATGTATGTAAATTTATTTTTCCGTTAGTACTACCTTTCTGTTTGGTTTGAAGCGTGGTAAACCCAACTTGCTTCGGACATTTTACCGAATCATATATTAACGGGAGGTTCAGCAATGGTTAAACATATTATCTGCAGAAACTAAATCTTCAACAACTTCTATGCAAGATAAATGAATATGTAAGCTTGCTGAGGGCGTACTATTTTAGGGCTCCCTTTTGAATTTAGTAGAATAATAATTTGGCAGTAAGCTCAATAAAGAAAATCAGTTTTATTAATACTTACGTAACACAAAAATGGATTTGATAAAAATTTGTTTGAAGTGTTACATGGGCAGAAAGGTCTTTAGCCTAATAATGATGGCTTTATTCTTCGGCATAATCTCTAACTAGAGCAGTACATTTTCTGTAACTTCACTGTAATTTCCATATGGGTTCGATGACGTGCAGTTTCGAACTCTTCAAAGCAATCGTTTGTTGCCGTTCTTAACCTCGTTTTTGAGTGAAATTTTCTTTTAGCTTCTGGAAAAAATCACTAGGGCTACAAAAAAGTCAATCTGTGAAATTTCGTATTGAAATGCGGGGAAAATGCATTGGCTTGTAGCGAAAATGTGTACTAGCATTGAACTCATTAACAGTGCGTTTAGGGTTTGTCGTGGAGTGCCTAACCTCGCTTTCAATAGCATCGTATCAGAAGCCTTTTGCGAAAACACATGACCGATGGTGACATAGCGCAGTAGTAGAACACAAGAGGTTATGGCAGCACCGACCCGATAGGAATTCTAGGATACCTTTCCTTGCTAGTTCATCAGCTTTGCATACCTGCCTTATCACAAAAACACTCAATGCTATTGATAGCGAGGTTAGGCACTCCACGACCAACCTAGGCAATGTAAATGAGTTCAAGGCAATAGTCAGGAAGCCCAAAGTTGGAGTTGATAAAGAGTTCCTGACAGTAAACACCTCCACTAACCTTCCCCCAAGCCTTAAAGAAGCTCACTGTCCTTCTCCTTCAAGGGCTACTTCCCACCAACAACTTCTTCGTCGGTATAAGGGTAGAGAAGTAGCCGTCTTGGTGACTCCATGAAGTATGAAGTCAAAGTGTGTGAGAGTATCCGAGTGTTCAGATACGTGTTCTTTTAAACACCCAGAATCTCCAAGTCTGATAGCAAATTTTGCAGCTGTACACCTTCCGACGTTGTCTRCGGGCACTATATGCAAGAGGGCTTTAAGTGCCATAATTGGAGTGGATCTTAGTACACCACACATGCTGATGAGCGCCACCCGTTGACCGCTCTCAAGTTTCTTTACAAGTGTTGTCTTCTCTAGAGCCCTTCACCACCTGAAGACTCCGTAGAACATAATTAGCCAGACTATAGTATCGTAGAGTTAGAGGATCACTTTCGATGCGAGACCCCATCTTTTGCCAATGACTCCTCTACAGCAGTGTAAGGCAATCGATGCCGTGATGGTTGTTCTTAATATTATTTCGAATATTTAATATGTAGTAATGAAACTAAGTGAGCTTATGACCAAAATTTGATTGTAATGCATTTAGTAATTTCTAAACTTTTAATAGCGTTTTTGCAATTAAAAATGTTATAGTACAAAACTTGCAGCCCTGGTATATAAGATGAGCAATTCAATCTGAATTTTGACTCTCCTTAGTTTCTTTGAGTACTAAGATAATTAAATTGAAGAAGAGCGGAACGAGAGTTATGCGGTTTGTAACATCTTAATTAAATTCCAAAATGTTAACTGTTTATTTGTTGGGGCATTGTAGGTGAACAGCCATTTTTGTTTTTTTGTTTTAAGGAAAGACAACCTAAAAGAGGCACTAGCGTGTCGCTCATTTCACCGTTGGAATATGAAAACTTGAAAAGTAATACATATGTACATCCATACGTATATATGTATGTATATTGATCCTTCAGCGCAGCAAATTATCATTTATCTCGTTTCTAGGCGTATTTCCTGCTATACCAACATCTTTAGGGGTTTACCGAGTAGGATGTCCGGGGAAAGAGATCAACAATACTACTGCCGCTATTACGCTTTGTGCGGTAATTTAATTGGGTTCTTCTTTAATTAAGTTTTCTGATGGAGRTATCACAAAGTATGATGAAACAAAAATTTTTGAACACTTTCGTCGGCTTTACCTTTTCGCGTTATGTTATTCGCTATTACGTTTTATATATACACATACATGTGTACTTATGCATATAACTCCGAATGTACAAACATACATATGTACATACATAGCTCAGTACATGAAACTTTACTTACGCTCAACTTTAGGAAAATTCGATAAAGTGCGAAGTGACACAGTGGCAGTTTCTCCTCATACACGACTTTAGTTTGCTAAAATTTTAAAATTGCATAAAATTAGCTTTTGCTTTTAAACAGCGATTCGATCGCTCTTTAATTCTTACCGTGGTGATTTGTTTCCTTTTCACAACCGAGCTGCTGCCTCTGTTGCCTAATATTTCATTGATTCGTAAGGATTGAAAAATTACACAAGAAYTTTTATAATCACTAAATTTATTAGGAATCAGAGTTCGTATTAGTTTATATATTTATTACAAATATTGGAAGTACAAGTTTAATCGTATGTTATCGTTAATGTATTATTTGTGTGTGTTTTTTTCTTTAATTTTTTCTCTCAATTGTGTTTGGGTTTTTGGCGACAACTAACTGTTAACTGCGTACAAAAAATTTGACTTTGAAGTCTCCTTTGGTAGCGACGACTACTGGCAAATAAAAGGTTGCGTGAATTGTTAAAATACGATTGAGCGCCCAACCACCCCCATTTTGGACATTGCGCAGGCACGTAATGCGCATTATCTTCTCGCATGCGTTCCACTTGGAATCCAATGTTTATATAATACCGCTTCGCTGCGTGGAGAAATTGGTTAAAATTTTATAGACATTGTAAATAAAAATATGTATGTGCATATGTAACTATGTGGTAGCGGCGTGCTGTAAAGTAGAGCTTAATAATGTTTATTGTTACTAGTGGCGGTTGTTTTTAAGGATGAAAATATTATGTAGTTGATAACGGCACAAAATCATTTGGATCGCCAGACTAATCTACAACTGTCTTATACCTTAAACACTTTGTAATGCCGGAGTCTGAGGATCCAAATAATTTCGAACGACTTCTTTTTAGCTTTGTTAGTAGAGCACTTTGTCCGATTTACATTAACTTCCGAACGTTATTTTTTAAATTGTTAATCAACTAAAATCCTTCACAAATAGATTCACCTGTTGCTGCTGACTTGCCAAAGTCTGCGTCATTAATCCTTTAATACCTTCTGTACTTGATGTCTACTTTATCTTTTCTTCCTGATCCTACAGAACTATGCAATAAAGTGTATCAAGGTATCTTGCTGCTACATTTACATGAATTTTATATTTTTTATTAAATTTCACATGTTTATTATACACCGAGGGCCTTTGCTGGTATAATTCCTATATACTATATACGTAAGAAAAGTAGGAAAAAAATGAAGACTCTAAGCCTGATTCAACTCAGTATATTCTAGTTATTATTTCGGCGATGAAGCTCATAACATTGTGGTCGTATATGCCTAGTTGAACCAGGTTTATATGATAATAAAAGGAAATTGAGGAAAATTCATCACTTAGCTAACTCGTTCTATAGAAYTCAGACCCTATATCTTCTTCTTGGTCCTGAAACTTAAAAGCAAAAGTTGAACAGAAAGTTTTCTATTTTAGTTTCAAAATATTTGTTTCATTAAATTTTTGGCAAAAATTAATATTTTTTTCTAAAATCATCTAGTTTTTAATAAAAATTAATAGTCATAAACTAACTATATTTTATTTAACAAATTACAGGTTACTAAAAATATTATTATCAATAAATTCTATATCTTAATCTGGATATATTTGTTTATTATCGATATATATATTATCGAACGTATATTATGTACTTTGTACATAGTCAAAATTATTATCTTTATAAATATTTTTTATTTAAACATTTAATAATTGTTGTGATATACTTAATAGTTTGCACAAACTTTATGAAAAAGAAAAAAATCGTATGTGCACCCTGTGCCGAGAATGCAACCATGTGTAAACGTGGTATTCGAATTTCGAAGTGCACTAATAAATTTCGGCGACGTCATTTCGACTTTCGAACCAACATCTAGCTATTCGGTGTGGTAGTGCGATTACTATTATTTCATTTCCAATTCTTGAATCGTTCAAAAGTTCATCACTTATATACGGTGCTTGTTGTAGTTTTATACAATTAAACGCAAATAAAAAATACTAAAAAATATAGGAATAATATAATGGCTGCCGAAGGAGAGGTTAAACTTTACTCACGCGAGGAAATCTCAAAACACAATTCAAACAAAAACACTTGGATGATAATCCATAATAACGTGTACGATGTGACTGAATTTTTAAATGAGGTAAGTAGGTACGAATAATTTACCGAAGTAGAAAAAAATAGACGTAGAGTTCAGGTCAATGTGCATAAAAATTTCAACAAGATGCACAGTGTGGCATATTGCGCCTTAATTGCCGATCTCCGCTCTTTATTGAACTTGAAATGAATATTTTATGATAGTGGTGTACAAAACAAAACTAGTAAATTTTATATAAATAAATGTGTATGTGTTTGTTAACATGTTGCGTGTTTACGCTTCCAATCTTTAAATTCATGAGCACATATTTACTAACTTGTGGATCTACATATAAATAATTATAGTAAAGCAAAAACTTATCATTTGATGTATTTAGTTTTAAGCGCGTATTTTATATTATATATAATTTTTTTATTATAATGGATTAATTATACATGCATGCATTTACAGGGAATACTATTAGTAACTTATTTTCAAAGTTGTTCTCTACATCCCTTACATCTACGGCTAGCTTTCTTAAATTGAAATGTCAATTTTAATGTGAAGAATACCGATGTGTATGCGTGCTAATAATCACATCACATTAGTCAGCTAGTCGGTTAAATTGTTATCATTGCTGTATCATTGTCATAATACTGTAGTCTCGATAAGTATTCTAGATTAATATTTGTACTTTTTTCAGCTCTTCGGTACAAAGTTTCTAACAACATTTTAGTTAAGTTTATAGAAATAATGTCTATACTTCGAACTGACGCAATTTCTCAATTTAAATTGCAAATATTGAATTAACTTAGTATTCGCGACACCAAAGTTATTTCATTTACAATTTTCACGTCATACATTTCTGTACAAATTAATTGATAAACGGCTGTCAGTTCATTTTCATTTACTAGCATGCCATTTTTGCACTATTTTGTATAAAATAAACATACAAATTTAAAGCTACAAATATCGTTTTGAAGGTTTTGCACAATCGCATTTGCATTTCGCATCACATTCGTTTGACCTGCCTAAATACATATTTGTTGCTATTATACACGTTATATTTTGGATCAGTATGTCAAAAACTCTCTCTCTCTTCGCCTACGTCTTAATATTTTTTAATATGTGTGCTTTTTTTGCATTACTGAGTATTTTGCTGCTGAACTATATTTAAAATTTATATTAAGGTAGCTGCTTATGTATCTTATCAGCACAAAGTATATACAAGTGTTATATACTTCAGTTTAAGCTTATCGGAATCGGTCGAAATTCTTCATATCATCGCCGGCTCTTATACACATATGCATTATATGATCTTATCAATTCAAAAAACACAAGTGTTATATATGTTTATGCATATTGAGATGGGTCTAAATTATTCGAGTCATCGCCGGCTCTTATACACATATGCATGTAGTATGCGGTAAATAAAACAGCTGATGTTTAAAGTAGTACACTATATATTTGAAAACTATACCTAATAATTTTATTATATTTGTTTTGCACTCGTTCTATTGTGCTATTGTGGTTTTTAATGAAGTATTGATAAGATAAGGATAGATTTGCATTCACGCTTTAATTCAAATGGGTTAAGAAATGACATGATAATTGGTAGTTAGAAATTTTATTTATGTAGTATTGACATGGACACGTACTTTTTAAGTACATTATGATGTACATATATTAGTATTTCTTACGTAAATTTTCAACTAATAATTGCAACACCTGGTTTTTGAAATTTCCATAGATATTTTATTTCTTATTTGCCACATCCGCTAGAAGTGCAAATATGTAAAATTGTCTCCATGTTATATGCATGTGCACATATACATACATATTTTACAAAGCGTTTAGACTTGGCGACAAAATAAAATGCTAATCTCTAGACAAAGTTCAGCGGAAGAAATAAGCAAAAAAAATTCAGCAACAAACAAAAACACATACAAAATTGAAGTATTTACATATATATCGGCCTAATAACTTTTCATCTCAAGTTCAATAGGAGTACATCTATATATATCCAACCATGAGTAAATGTATAAATACATAAGGGGAATTCTCTTGCTCTTGTAAGATTGCCGATTGCAAAAATCCTATACCGAAATATACAAGGGATCGAGAGCACCCATTGCAGAATCTAGTGATATATGAATGGGTGATTCGGTCAATTTATTGTAAATGACTATTGTGCATGGCTATTGTTAATTGGAGCACCTTCTGCATTCATTCTTAACAAAAAAAAAACTGTTCTTTAAAACTTTTCGTCGTTCTTTATAATTTAAATATAAATTATAAAATCTATTAAAAATTTACTTTTCTCAACAATGTCAAAATATGTATTTAGGTAAAATGACTGCACAGGGTTGCAATTATTTTTTACGTGCCATTGCACGAAAATGAACATGGGTATTTTATAGCCCTTGCAAATATTTTTCTGCGCGTGTTAGTTGCCGTGCCGTTGCATTAGGTGGAAAAAACTGCAATTCTTGCACCATACAAGAGCAAGAGAATACCCCTATAATGAAAAAATGTTTGCATATTTTTAAGAGCAAATTCTATTCAAATTCATATACATATGTAATTAACATACATGCGATGAAGTTTTGCCACGCTACTTCGGCGCGTTTTAGATTATGTACTGTGCGCATTGTTGAATAAAATATTTCTGTCTTAAAGGTGAACTATTCTTCAAATTGCTACTTCAATACAGACAATACTCAATTGTATTGTATTTATTTATTTATACATTTTTTCTTTGTATTTCACTTGCTTTAATGTTAAATTTAAATTCTAGCATCCCGGTGGAGAAGAAGTGCTGATCGAACAAGGCGGCAAAGAAGCTACAGAGAATTTCGAAGATGTCGGCCACAGCTCTGATGCGCGCGAAATGATGAAAAAATACAAAATCGGCGAACTAGTCGAATCCGAACGTACGAATGTGCCTCAGAAGAGCGAACCCACATGGAACGCGGATCAGAAATCAGAAGACTCATCAATGCGTTCATGGCTAGTGCCATTGGTACTTGGTTTGGTGGCTACAATTTTATACAGATATTTCTTTAAAGTGTAAATTCTGCAAAACCGAGGAAACAAAAAAATAAAAAAAAAAAAAAAAAAAAAAAAAAAAAAAAAAAAAAAAAAAAAAAAAAAAAGGCGTGCAAACAACACGACATTACTACGATTAATTTCCTTCGTCGTTGCGTTGTAAAGTTGATTTAAGAAACCATTCCCTTTCATTAATTAGTAAAAGAAAGTGTCTGCATTTATGCCTAGAGATGCACAAAACCGTACCAAACCAGCAATGACAATTTCAAAATATTTTGCATACAAATGAAAAGTGTATAATGGTTGCTGCTTGCTTAATAGATAAATTTTACCATATGTAATTTTTTAAAGAGAAAAATGTAAAAATTTATTATAAATAGTATGTTTATATTCTATTGATGAGGAAATTATACAAATAAATAYGTATAAGTACTTGGGTATATCTGTTTTGTATTTTATTTTTATAAAATATTTTCAATTAATTGTTTTCTCCGCTACGCTTCTGATATTATTCCGTTGTTCTTCAAAGATTTTAGCATAATTTTAGGCGAAGATGCGAGGTTTGTACTTGTTTTTCGTTTTATATCAAAAGTTGTATAATTACGATATGTTTAATTGTGTTTATTTGAGAATATTCGTTTCTAATTTTTGTCTGTTAAAAATGTACATTTTACCGTAGAAATATTGAAAATTTCCCAGAGCACACTCTCTTCTGTTGTCTGCCAACCTGAAATCAGTCTCCATCGAAAAATATCTTATCTCGTACAGTCCGGGCTTTCTCCCCGCTTTTTATAAAATTGTATTTTTATATTATTTTGTTTGAAATATATATATTTTCTTAAATAATTTTTTTTATACTGTTAATTTAATTTAATTTTCTTAAATAATTTTTTTTTTATATATTTATTTCCKGACCTTTTTGGATTATCGATCTGTGATTTTTTTTCTACTCAATAAACTACCCATTTGTAGAAACCGATGATATCGGACGATTATGTGGTTGTAACGGGTACCTAGACGCCGTTAGTATGGAAATAATTAGATAAGTTGTCATCGATGTCATCGATGTCATCCAACGGTAGGTCCAGGAAACGGGCTGTTTCTATGGGGTTGGACCATAGGGAGAGGGGTGTCAGATGAGTGGGGTTAGCAGGGGATGCTAAGAGGTGGCTAGGTGGGGGGACTCGTTGCACGTTGGATATGCATTCTACGGAATAGCCATGAGGTGCATGCGCTTGGATCCCCTCTGTCGTCTCAAAATAATTGCCTTTCGTCGTTGGTTAGGTAGCTGTTCACAAGAAAGGCGGTGTGAGCCGAGGCATTGTCGTTGTGCAACTTCCAATCGGCTGCGATGTCTTGTCGGATCCGATTGACCTTTTGTTTGAGTCTCTTGAGGACTCTCACCGTAAAACTTGGCGTTGACGGTTTGTCCAGGAGAATCAAATTCATGGTGGGTGCTGCCTTTGATGTCAAAAAAGAAAACAAGCGTCGTTTTCACTTTGGCTTTGCTCATTCTTCCGGTCTTCATCACCGATCTCTTCCAGGCCCTCCAAAAAGGCCTGRTAATACCGAAATACATCACTTATTGCTAAAGCAACATCTCGGTAAGCCTGCTTGACCATGTCAAACGTCTCTGTCGCAGATTTCCCGAACTTCACACAGAATTTTATCGCGTACSTCTAACAAACGCTACATTTTCAGGTTGCACCTCTCACAGAAACACGGTGCGCGAAAATGTTTGTCCTGACTCTCCAGGTGATCGGAGACAACTAACCAGCCGTCCGTTAGCTGGGAACGSCCTCTACCGAATCCAGTCGGTGCGCGGACGCTTCGAAGTACAGTCGCAGCGGAAGAAAATCAGTAATATTGCTTTCCGGACAAACCATGAAATGGCCGATCAAATCAAGATAAAGATTTTGTCTGCCCTTAGTTTTCTTTTTCCTTCCTATTTTATTCACAATGTTTTTTTGTTTTGTTTCTGTTTGTTTTTCTAAAATACGAACAAACAAATTTGTGGTTGGGCGCTACAACAAAATCATTAAAGTCTCAACAGCAGCAATGATTAAGTGACAACGTTCGAAATTATTTATAATACGGCCATAAAATTCATCTTTATTATATAATAAGCTATGAGCTCTACGTACACGCTTGTGTTAATACTTATTTCCTTATATATGTATATTTAAATAATTAATTTTATTTGCAAATCATAAATCTGTGCGTAAAATCTTAGGTATCTATACCACTAAAATTGTAAATGTATGTGTATGTGTATGTGTATGCGGTTAACGTATTGAACTTTGCGCATTTGAGTGGTTCGTGTGATAAAGTTGATGATGCATTTGTGTTATGTCATGATTATGTTTTACATGATGTTCCGGTTGCTGTTCGAAAAAGACACAATTATTGTTGTTGTTGTTTACATTGATGTCCTCCACCATGGGTTCGTCCGCGGTGTACCAGTGGTGTGAGTCCAGCATATTGGCTGTTGCTTGCTGATAGCTCGCGCTGTTRTTGCTGCAATTGCCGTTACTCGTGGTGCTCATGCGTCCATATTTGGAAAATGAGTTGCGCGAATTACTCCATTCGGTAGGCGAATATTGGAGTGGTTGCAGCCGAACGCTGCTGTTGCTATTATTTTGCATGTGATGGAAGCCGAAGGGCCAAGTCTGTAAGAAAGACATACAAAGCTAGTTTAATTCTTGTTTGGTTTTATTAACAAAAATTTCAAAGTCTCGTAAATAAATAATAATAATAATACTGAAGAATTTTGTCAAGTTGATAAGCTTTGTCCGACGATGAGRCCCATTTCTGACTCAGTGGATATGTAAAGAAGCCGGTGGAATCATCTGTTAAGATTCCTTCAAAACTGATGCCGGTCTATTTGACTATTTGGTTTCAACTTTCCACATATCGCATCAATCAATGGATTTACTGAGAAAATACTGCGGTAAGCAGATCATTCGCGTTTTGGGCCGGTCGATTGGCCGCCAAGATCGTGTGATATCACACCGTTAGATTTTTTCTTGTGGGAATATGTAAAGTCTAAAGTCTATGTAGACAATCCCGCATAAAGTTTTGCTCCAAACATAACGCCTGTCATTCGCCTGTTACCAGTCGAAATGCTCGAACGAGTCATCGAAAATTGTACTCAACGGTTGGACCATCTGAGACGTAGMMGCGGCCARCATTTRAAAGATATAAWCATCAAAAAATAWATGTCAAAGAATGTTCTTTGGAATGATAATATACTTTCCCTATTAAATTTGAAGGTTCTGTTTGTGAAAGAGTAGGGAATCTCGAAATGTATAATCCTTTAAAATTATAAACTGGTAAACKGCTTATTTAAAGCTCAATTCTTYGGAATTAAAGAAAGATTAGGATTCTTTCAATTAATATTGCGAATTAGAAGCGACCCTGTCGAATTTCCAAATATCTGAGCATACTTTCYGGCAGACTTTGTTAAAGTTTTGACAGCATAATTGTGACAAGTCTATTTCAAAATATTTCTGAATAGAGGACTACCCGAATAGTTTCTGCAAGGTTTTCTTAAATGTATTAAGAGTGTTTGGTTAACTAGCAATATTTTTAGTTTTGCTTAATTTAAGAGTATGAAAACTATATCCAATTTCCTATACTCAAAAAAAAAAGGAAGATACTTAAAAAATGACCCTGGAAGAAGTCGGTAGTGAAAAGTGAAGAAACAAGAACCTATTTTGAATGCCTCGGACCTGCACATTATAGAGGATCGTTACAACAAATGCATTTCTCTAAATTTAAATTTACCAACCAATATGGTGTTTAAGGGCTTTAAAAGAATCGTGAAAAAAATCTTCYTGAGGAAAGTCTGTTCATTTCAACGAAACTCGGTACATTGCWAACACTATCATATGAAAATGGACAACAACCACGCCTACTTGTTCCAATCGTATAACACCGGGTTTCCATAGTCCACATATACATSATAAATCAAAGATTTTCGAAATTCCGGTTGATCCTATATACCTTATTTYACATATYGGTMAATATRTGAGTTATCTAATTTGAATTTAAGAGTATCCTTTTCTGTAAACAGTATGAATGGATGCCAAAAATTGATGTGAAATCTGGTAAATATTTCCTGTGCTCCCCATATAGCTAATATAAAAGTGTTACATTTTTGGTTAATATTTGATTAGTAAAATTAAGTGAACGAATAAATTTGGATATACGACGAGTTGAGTCAATTTAGACTGAGTGACTGCTGTCCGTCGGTATATACAAGAAGCGGTCACTAAGTTTTTGAAATATCGATCTGAAAAAATGAGTTCATTTATCGAAACCGCCGATATCGAACCCCTATAGCATATAGCTGTCACATAAACTGAACATTCGGAGCTTCTATAGAAAACTGTTTGATTTAACTACTTACATACTACATACGTATGTATGTATGTATTTTAACGAAATTTTGTATAGATTATTGTTTACGGTATTGTAGGCTATAGCATGAATATATAATATATTATATAACGAATTTTTCAATAGGAACGTTATAAAAGTAGACCGACGCCATATTTTTGCCCGCTTCTTTGACATTTCTCTTCAGTAAGGTTTGCCATTTTATCGTGGAAGGATTTACGATCTAACAACAAGGAGCGAAATTATTAAAATTTACTACCGAAATTCGGAGTAAGTGGCTTCAGCTTTACGAGCGCTACGTCCAATTTATGGTCGTCATAATCGTCCTGTCAGATCAACAATTGAGTGTCTAGTGGAAAAATTTGATTTCACAGGCACAATATAAAATGTTCCCTTAGTGTCGAGAATATTGCTGTCGCTAGCGTATGAAGATCAAATAGTCGGAACTACTGAAGCCGCTTGACCACCAGAATGTCGTATGCTCGTGAACTGGTCAGAGCAACAACATCGAAAAATCATCTTCAGTGACCAGGCTCATTTCTGGCTGAGTGGCTTCGTAAATAAGCAAAATATGTAAATACATATGTACGTGTTATTGGCCAGCCAGCAATCCACWAGTACATATTTCATGAGCCATCATTGCATTTCGAAAAAATTACGGTTTTGTGCGATTTATGGGCCGTACTTCTTCTTGCGATGATCAAGACCGGCACGYTACTGTGAATAGGAATCTTTACCGCTCAATGATAACCGAATATTTTTGGCCCGAATTGGATGATATGAACTGGGACAATRTGTGGTTATTTCACGAAATGGCGCAGTAAATTGGCCAYCTTTCCTATGTCAGTCGAGTTCCATACATAACGGCATCGAATGTAATTTCATAGGAGTAATTAATTTCATTTATATCCCAAACTGTTTTTGTTTTATTCAATTTTGTAGCACTCTTATCACTCAAACAAAAAAAAAAAAAAGATTTTGTATGAAAACTTTTTTCTTTGTGAAGGGTATTCTTACATCGATGGAACCAAAGTTACGGTTTTGCAAGAAGATATTGTCTCGCCTTTGATCCTTGCCAATTTCGAGAGTATAAATATTCCGTTACACGTTATAAATGCTTCTTACTTGTTTATCATAACTGATTGAAATATTAATTTGATGAAAGGCGAGGCAATATCTTCTTGCAAATTTCGAGAGTATAAATATTCCGCTACACGTTATAAATGCTTCTTACTTGTTTATCATAACTGATTGAAATATTAATTTGATGAAAGGCGCCAACTCGTTTGTTAAAGTGTGAGGTCATACATCAGGCATGCAAATAAATCGTAACTGCGGATATTGCTTACACGTTTAATGAATGTGGATCACCGCAAAATGCGAAATGTGTGAAGTGTGAACAGTGAACAGCTGTTTGCGGGGTGTTGCTCAATGRTATTCCGAGGTTTTTTTATTTACACAAATGTGATTGCGTTAACAATCACTTAAACATAACAATAACAAAACAATCATGAAGCCTATTAAAATAAAGGATGGGCTACAAAAGGGCGCTTATTACATGCATATGTTTATTATACTATATACAAATTTACATACCTATGCAAATGCATGAACACACACTCACACATGTGATTGCAGTCTCGAAAGAAATGTGCAGCCAAATGGTTGTTGACTACGCAAACATTAGGGTAAAAGCGAGCAAAGACAAAAGAAAGCTAAACAATCCGCTATCAGCAAAACCGAACTCACCGAGCGACCAATCATGCGCCCTCCCTATCAAAACAACAACTAACATAAAGTGGAGCAAAGAAAAAGTCGCGGCATTTGGCAGTTTGGTGTGTGCCATGATCGCTGAGAACAGACGGTGAATGTTGATTTATTCGAGTCTACATAGAAATATGTAAACAAGACAAATTTGACGTTTCCCATGCTTAGTTATGTAGATCTATRCCCATACAGTGATGGGTACGATATTGAGATCGGGAATAGAAATGTTGTTTACTTTTTGATTTTAAACGATACTGAAATATCAATTCTGTTATGAAAGATAAAATTGCTATGAAAAGCAAAATGCACCAATGCTAGAGCTCTGGATTGTTCTAAAGAGTAATCCATTTCGARGTTCCCTACTTTTTCACAAACAGAACCTTCAAATTTAATGGAGAATGTRTATTATCATTCCAAAGAACATTCTTTGACATTAATTTTTTGATGATTATATCTTTCAACTACGTCTCAGATGGTCCAACCGTTGAGTACAATTTTTGATGACTCGTTCGAGGATTTCGACTGGTAACTGGCGAATGACTCGGGTGATGTTTTGCTCCAAGGCCTGAATCGAAGCGAGATTGTTCGCATAGATTTTAGACTTTATATAGTCCCACAGCAAAAAGTCTAACGGTGTGATATCACACGATCTTGGTGGCCAATCGACCAGCCCAAAACATGAAATTATCTGCTCACCGAAGTATTTTCTCAATAAATCTATTGATTGATGCGTTGTGTTGGAAGTGGCGCCGTCTTGTTGAGACCAAATGTTGCCGAGATCACGAACTTTAATTTCAGATATCAAATACAAGATGCATTCCAAAGTAAACTGAACTTTTTGGCGTCATCTTATGTCGACTGGTGCGTTAAAATCTGCTATCTCTATCGATTATCCAGTGAGAATTTCTTAACATTTCATTGATTCGAAGTGAAGTTATTGCGTTTTAAGTGTCAGTATGTTTGTGTTATCTGATCTAGCCAAAAAAAGCCAACATTTTACATAAAATTCAACTTGTTAGTAGAGTATTTTAGGTTTCAATGACGGATAAAGTTGGAATCACAAAAAAACATAAATTTTTCACATTTTTATTGTTACCCTTAACTGAAACTGAAACTTTAARGGGCTATACCAATAGAAGTAAACAATGCACAAACAACCTTAAGTGCGTGTCGCTCGTGGTTAACGCAACATTTAGTGGTTTGCGATTCATCACAAACTATTAAAAAGTTGCTCAAAACCATATGTTYCGGAGTCTCATAATTTAAGATGTTTATACCAAACATTGACCGTCATTTCAGGGGTTGTGATTGGGAAAACACACGCGAGGTGAAAACATTAACTAGGGTGCTGTTCATAGAGAGAGAAAGATAGAACACATAATAGATTCATTTCTGMGGACCTTAAATGGAGAGTACGGTGTTATTCAGCTTGTTACCCTTTATAAGGGTATTTCTTATAGCAACTGTATATACATACCATCTGATTTGACCCGGGCTGATA